CAAGTCAAGTCCAAAGGAGCACATGAATAATTGGCTACAGCTATCCTTTAAGCAAGTGCCAGCTCTCTCTGCTCAGGCTGATACATCTCCAAACCTCAGGGAGCCAGGAATCAGCTGCCAGCAGCCAATGGTCTTCTGAGCATTCATAACCAGACCAGGTGCTGATCCATCAAGCTAATTAGCAGCCTGTGGGCCACAGTTAGCTGGGAAGGTAGAGGTTTTTAACTCTTTTCCTGACAGACTCTGTGCCTATCTATGCTTTTTGAACAACGTTCTATCAGTAAAATCACAAAGAAAAATGTAACTTTTCTGTTTTCAATCCTGAATGAATGATTTGTGTGGTTATGTAATTCTAGCATTTAGAATTCAAAAGGAGGGGCCGGCCTGGTGGCGCACTGCTACAGTGTGCCGCTTGCGAGCGAGGTGGCACTCCCGCCGAGGGTTCGGATCCCACATACAGACCAGTTCCGCTCACTGGCTGAGCGAGGTGCAGGCACAACACCGAGGGTTGCGATCCCGTTGCCGGTCCCGGTCCGGTACGGGCGCGACACTGAGGGTTGCGATCCGTTGCCGGACACGAAAAAAAGACAAAAAGGAAAAAAAAAAAAAGAATTCAAAAGGAGGAAGGCTAAAAAGGCATATAGGTTTGTTTAAATAAGACAGGAGAGACTAACAAAACAAAGGAAGTGAACTTCGACTCACAAATATACATATCCTATTCTACAAATCTTCATTTTACTTAGTGTAATGTCATCCATTGCCACAGAGTGAACATTCAATAAATGTTTGTTCTTGTTGATAATGATATAATAATACTTGACAGAAATAATAAACAAGAGGAGAAAATAGGACAGAATTAAAAGGAGCAAGATATATAGTTTGTCAGTATCTGAAATACACTTAATCATCAGGCTCTCAAAGAGCAGAAGAAACAGAATTAGCTTCAATTGAAAATATGGAGAACATGTTGAAAGTTCATAAAAATGGAAAACTTTATTTAGGAGATGAAGGAAACGGAATACATCAGAAATAGTGTCACTGAAAATTACCAGACTTATAAACCAATATTTAAATCAGCAGAGGAAAGAATCCAGTGAATTTTAGTAAATTTGTAGAAGCTTGTTGTGAATAATGCATTTAAAATTAGTTTTAAAATGTGATGATCAAACAGTGAAATAGAATCAACAATCAGTGAAGCCAACACCATTGCAAATGTCTTCCCTCACATCAGAGAAGCATTTTACAGCCAATATTGTTCAATATTTATGACTTCAGTGTGGTTTTGTTTATCATGTATTCCATGATGTCCAATGTAGCAGTGCCAATATATGATCCAGAGATATGAAATAACAAAGAAGCATCCTAGTCCTTGAAGTAACCAAATCTGGAAATCACAGAAGAGTGGTAAGGCAATATACTGGCAGAGTTCTTAAAACACAGAGGTAACATTTATGGAGATGTCTGCATGGGCTCTTGAAAACATATGGAGAATTGAAGAAGGGCTACGAGATTTCAATGACACCCCATCACCACCATCTGGAGACAAGAATCCTATGGTAGATTTTTTTTTAATAAACTGTGATATCTTGCTGATGAACTTTATATCAATGACAAGATCCTAGCCAAAGTTCCCTTGGACTGCTTACTAGAAAACTGTTTTATTGCTTGATTCCAGGGCTTAAAAATGGATTTATGCCACAGTGAGGAACAGCTGTCATTGTATTTGTAGAACCACAGTGTCAAGATGATGAAACTGAGATGATTCCAGAGTCTTCAGGGAGCTAAAGAAAGCATTATACAGCCTAAGGAAGTTGGATGTACTGGCTGTAATATAAACTGTACTGCCCTAAGAAACTAATCTACATGTTGGGATGATGAACACTGATCTTTCCCCAAATATTTACTGAGTAAAAACATAGTGAGTGGTTCCTTAGGGAGAGCAGGGCCATGAGTTGGATTACTTTTGCTGTAAGAAATTAATGTTCTACCCTGGACTACAATCAATTTAGATTGTGGATTGTGGTCTTTTAAACAGACTGTGGTGGGTGATTCAGTGTCAATGGGCCATTGGATTCATGACTACTGATAATTCTTCATAATGCTTCCTACAGTCTGGTGTGTTCACAGATGAGGTCACGAGTCTGTTCTGTGGCCACCAGGTATGCTGGTCCTCTTAATGCCCTAGCAAAGCAACTCCCCTACCTCCTACCCACCCTCACAAACTGTCATCCCATGGTTTGATCAGAGCTAACCCCCAAGCTCTTCCTGCCTAAGTCATTTGTTACTAGCAAAGTAAGAAATAAGCATATGATCTTGACCTTATCTATCTCTCTGTCCTCAGCTCTGGTCTTTCCTCAGCTGAACCCTCTGATAGACCTCTGGGGATACCTTGCTGGGTGCCTCTGCCTGTGGGGATCTCTCTGCCTTTAACGTCCTTCAACCAGTTCTCTGCCTGGAAAACTATTCTTCCTTCATGTGTTACCTCCTCCGGAAAGCATTCCTTGATAATAACAGCAAACACATATGAGGGTACTTCAAAATGTTTATGGAAAAATAGAATTAAAAGGTAATATGAAGCTTTTCATGAACTTTTTGGAGTACCTTTGCAGAACTTGCTTATACTAGGTACACTTGTAGATGCTTTTTAAATGTGGTTAATTCTCACCGGAACCCTATTATAGAACAATTATAGTCTTTGCTTTAGAGATAGAGAAACCTAAAGGTAGAGTCATTGAGCAATTTACTCAGGGTCACTGATATGTGGCAGAGCTGCGATTATCAACCAAAGCTGGCTGGTTCCAGAGTGTTCTTCACCATTATTCTGAGCACAGTGGTCTATACACCGTTCCATAGCAGCCTGAGCACACACCACCAGAGAATTAACTGCACTGCACTAGAGTCATGTTTGTAACCCTCCTCTCTTTCTATGCCCTATAACTCCAACTAATCCACCAACACTTGGCCTAGGCATCATTGTTTTCCCCTTAAGCTTTCCTGATCCTGCTCCCCGACCCAGGAGCAGGTGAATCTTCCATCGCTGCCACCACCCTTCTCTATGCCGGAGCACTTATCACACCATGTGTCTGTTTATCTGTCTGTGTCCCTCATCAATCTGTGAACTCTTTGAAATTCTGAAGTCAGAGATGGTCTCAAATATTATAGTACACAACACAGTGGCTGGCATATAGAGCTGTTGCTTAATAAATATGTGTCTCTCTGATGGATGGACACTGGTGCTGAGTTTTGCAACTTTGGTTTCCATCTTTTACAAACAGATTAAGAACAAAAGGGATTCCATCACAACTCCTGGGAGAATCATGACAAATGCTTAGCTCCAGTTCAGAAAGAAGCAAGACTATTTATAGCTCAGGGGCTCAACATTAAATGACCTAGACTTAATTTTCCCTCACAGTTTAAATTTGTAGAACTTTAGACTGGAAGTGCCCTTGGAGATCCTTTAGTCCAGGTATTGTAAACTGGTGGCCTAGAGATATTTTTTACTTGACACTTACTATGTTGTTACTATTTTTATTAGAACACCTTGAAGCAGGACATTTACTCTTTATTTCTCCACATTCTACACAATATCCTGTCATAATATAACACTTCACGATTTGTATCATCCGCCTGACCCTTCAAGGCATTTGAATATGAAATGTCTGATTTAGTCCCATTTTTTGCCTCCCTTTACAGCAAAACTCCTCAAATCTGTACTTAGGGTCTCCAATTTTCTCATTAATTCATTCCAATCAGGTGTTTGTCCCTCCCTGTACTGATGTCTGATGATGACCGAGGACTTCCATCTCGTTAAATGTAGTTCCTGGCTGTGACCTAAGACCCTCCTGAGGTTCATGACATACTCCCCTGGTTTTCCTCCTACTTCCCTGCCTCTCCTTCTCTGTCTCCTTTGCCAGTTTCTCCTCATACCCTCAACCTCTGTTTGTAAATGTTGGATGCCTTAGGCTGCAGCCCTTGGCCTGTTTCTTGTCTTGATCTACTCTCACTCCTTGGTGATCTTCCACAGGCTTGTGACTTTAAACACTGTCACCATGCTGACACTGCATCAATGTACATCTCCATCCCACTTTATTGTCCAGTGGGCTTGTCAAAGTTAATCTGTCCAAACACAAATGCCCAATTTTCACCCCAAGCCTACTCTCTTACAGCCTCCCTCATCTCAGCGAAGGGTATATACAGCCTGCCCGTTGCTCAGGCCAAGATCCGTGGGGTCGTCCCTGCTCCCTTCCTAGCACACGCCATACCCAAACCTCAGTAATCACTTCTTGACTCGAATCCTCCAGTGTCTCCCCAGTTCATTTAGAGTGAAAGCCAAAGAAAATCTTTATGGTGGTCTACCAGGACTCTGATACTCTGCATCCCATTCTTCCTCCCGTCCCTACCTGTACTTCTTTGACCCTTTTTCCTACCACTACTCCCTTCTTGCCCTTCTTCAGCCACACTGGCCTCCCTGCTGTTCACTGAACACTCCAGGCATTCCCCTACCTCGGGTTGTTAGCATTTTCCATTCCCTCTGCCTGGAACGTCCCCAGGTATCTAGGTAAATGCACGGGGTGCTCACTTCCTTCATGACTGCTCAAGTGAAACTTCTCATTGAGGCTTTCCTCCTTCACTCTCTTTAAAATGGACTCCCTTACCCCAGGATGATTTGTCTCCCCTTCCCCCTTCCTGCTTTACTTTTCTCTAAAGTACTTTCTCACCCCCTAACATGCCGTACATTTCACCTACATATTTTGTTTATCTGTCTCTCCCTACTAGAACGTAAGCTCAATGAGGGCAGGCATATGTGTCTCCTTTGTTTACCACTATATCCTCAGCGATGGAATAGAATAGGGTACAAAACAGAGTAGGTACTGGTTACGGGTTGGTTACGGGTTGAATGATGCACCCACCCCCAATTCACATGTTGACATTCCTGTGATCTATTTGAAAACAGAGTCACAGGCAGATGTGATTAGGTAAGTTGAAATGAGGTCATACTGGAGTAGGGTGGGACCCTCATCTGACTAGAGCCTTAGCAAAGAGAATGCCATGTGAAGAGAAAGAGACATGCATAGAGGGAAAAGGACGTGAAGAGACACAGGATGAAGATGACCATCTACAAGCCAGGGAGAGAGGCCTGGAGCTGATCCTTCCCTCGCAGCCCTCAGGAGGAACCAACCCTGCTGATACTTGGTTTGTTTGTTTGTTTATTAATATTATTATTATTTTTTACATTTTAAGATGTCGTGGAGCAGTTGGGGGGAGGGGAAAGGGGGAAGGAAACAGGGTGGGAGGAGGAGGAAGGGGGCGTGGCTGAGGCCCGTGGCACCCCCCTTATTCCTGCAGGGGACACCAGGGGGGTTCTGCAGTCCTGCTGACACTTCGATTTCAGACTTTTAGCTTCCAGAATGGTGAGACAATACATTTCTGTTGCTTAGGCCACCCAGTCTGTGATATATTTTTTGGGTAGCCTAGCAAACTAATACAGTACTCAAAAAAATACTCTTAACAAAAATGTATGGGTGAGTAAATCAGTGAATTAATTTTTCCAATGAAGAAATGAAAGCCTAGTGAAGTTGCGGGTAGCCTAGCAAACTAATACAGTACTCAAAAAAATACTCTTAACAAAAATGTATGGGTGAATAAATCAGTGAATTAATTTTTCCAATGAAGAAATGAAAGCCTAGTGAAGTTGCATTACTTGCCAGAAACACACAGCGGTGAACTGGCACCACCAAGACTAAAATCCAGCTCTCCTACCGCCTCATCTGGCTCTCGGCCACCACAGCGTCAGTCTGTCTCACACGCACTGAGCAATGCTGTGCTGAGGGTGAGGGCATCTCTGGAGCCCTCTCCCCATCTCTAGATCTCACTTTCCTGCCTTCCTCCACATCACCCCCTCTGCCATCACATATCCTGCGTATGTCATGGCTGGACAATTATTGACATGTGTTTGCTAAGTGTTCTGATTTCCCCTCAGGAAAGCCCTGTGTATGAGTCTTCCATTATTCAGGAAGTAATAAAAGTTATAGTCATAACAGTAGAAAAAAACAAGAATGATTCACTGCTGAGCCACTGAGCCACAGGGAGCCGTCCAAGTTTTAGAGCAGACAATCAGCTAAGACAAGTCACGATGATGTCACGGTGGAATATACAAATACCTCAGTGGGCTGATTCAAAAGAGCATCACAATTAAATCAGCTTACTGCTGAGCACTCTTCTACATCCGTGAAGAGCTGATCTCCATTCTGACAGCCACATTTAAGGAGAGGGGATAAAAACAGGTGGCAGGAGGCAGCGGTCTCCACGCAGGAAGAAATGATTTCAAATTGCTGCAGAGTAAATGAATGCTATTCATATAGAAATTTTTCGAAAGGGGTTGGACATGTTTGGACACTTACCAAACAGGTCAGGAGCAGTGCTTTCTTCTCGGAATAAAATTACAGCATGACATTAGGCATGAAAAATTGACAAGAGCCATGGGGGTGATCTTTAAAATATTTAACAAAATATTGACAGCAAAGGCCATCAACAGCCAGCAAAGCCTTAGCACTGCATAGCGGTTGAAGGTGGCACTGGTGAAACTCCCTTGGCCAGGGTAGCAGAGATGCCCTTAACCTCTCTCACCCTTGGTTTAGTTTTTTCATTGCCTGGTGAGACATACCATTCTTTTCTCGGTGTTGTTACAAAAATTAAGAGAGCATGTTTATGACAATGCCTGGTACATTTCAGTTTCTCAATAATGATATCAAAATTAATGTCTTTATTATATACCACGTATCAGCAAATGCTGGTTTACTTAACCTGACAACAACCTCAGCATTCAACAGTTATTATTACCATTTTACAGATGGAGAAACTGATGTAGAGAAAAGTTAAGTAACTTTCTCAATGCCACACAGCTAGCAAGTGGCAAGAGTGGGTCTCAGGACCCAAGCAGTCTGGGTCTCAGGGGCTCAATCCCCACCCTATACTATCCTCAGGAAATGTCAGGGTGCTCCCCTCCCATGCTATGCTCCAGAGACATCAGCATCCCTTGCAAACCCAACATAAAGTCCCGGTTAAAGGACAATGGAGAGGCTATTACTGCCTGGTACTCCGTGATTTAGCCCTTCTTTCTATGTCTGCTCAATCTCCATTTGCATGAAGACAGGAAAAACAAACAGTCAAATTAATACAAAAGATAAGATCACAACTTTAAAAGACTTTTGTTTTTTATTCTGTATAAATTGAACTCTTAGGGTTATTTACCCCAGTTAAGGAATCTGATGATAACACAAATGCCCCACAGCTGCAGGGTTAATGAGTAGACCCTGTCTGGGGCCCACTTAGTGAAGCGAATCCTGAATGAACAAAGGACAAATGGGATTTGGGGGATTGAGAAGGGAGGAAGGCAAAGAAGGAACATTTGTTGAGCAGCCACCCCATGCCCGGCATCGCACTAGGTGCTTGACCTTTATTATTTCCTTCGATTCTGGTAACAACTCAATCATTCACCAAGTGCTGACTGAATGCTAGGTACCATACAGTTGCTGGGATGACAAAATAAAAAAAAAAAAATCATCATCCCTGCCCTTCTGAGTAAAATGGATTTAAAAAAACAAGCAGAGACGCTGTTTGAATTCAATGTGATATTACGTTGATATGGGTGTACACAGCCAGTGGAACTATGCTGGGCGGGCCAAGATGGTACCTACCACGTCTACAGGTCCCACATAAAGGACTGTTTCCAGCCTGGGTAGCTTGCATTCTGGGTTAGGTGATGCCACCACTGCTCCTCCCCATTGCCCCCCAGCCCCGTCACTAAAGGTAAACTGGCTCGATGAGTGAGATTCTCTCCCTTAGGAGTTTACATTTGGAAGTAGGGAGAGAATCAGGCAATCAGGTCATGGGGACAGAAACCGAGAAGTTGATTAAAAAACCCCGAGTGGGGCATGAGGAAGATAGCTGCTAGCAGGAAGAAAAATGGACAGAAGCAGAGGATACTTTAATAGATGTACCATAATTTATTTAATCATCTCCCTAATGTTAGATCATTTTTATTTTTTTCTGTATTACAAGAAATCCTATGGTGAATATCTTCATACATCAATATTTGTACCACTTCTGATTAGTTCCTTTAATGTACTTGTGGATTAATGAGTAAGCACATCTTAGCTCTTTAGACAAGTATGCATCTTTATTTCCAGGGAGATAGTACTGATTTTCCACGCCCCACAGTATTATGTGAAAGGGCCTACTTCAACACACTGTATCAACCCTGAGTCTTGGTCAAGTAAATAGAGAAAGGTAGTGGCTACCATTTTAATTTTTATTTTCTTAATTGCCTGCATATTTTTCATATGTTACGGGCCATTTCCATTTTTCTTATTGACTTATAAGAACTCTTTAGATAACAAGACTGATGCTCACTGACATACTTTGAAAATACTTGCCCATAATTTGTTGGTTTGCTTTTTAATTTTTATTTGAGGTGCAGAAGTTTTATATTTTTCAATTTATTAATCTTTTCCTTTGTAATTTAGTTGATTTTTTTTTTTGGCTGAGAAAATCTTTTTCTGTTTTCTACATCAGAAAAATACTTGGCTCTGTTTTTTTTTTTCCCCTAGTTTCAAAAAATGTTTTTGTTTTTACATTTACTTTTCTGTTCACTTAGAATTTATTTTTGTGTATTTGAATCTTTATGAAGGAAGATTGTGTATAAAATTAAAAAATAGGATTGTGTGATCCTATTGCAGATATATTTAATGTGTTAATGCTTGTTCCCCAGTAGAATCAACCATCAATGACTTCCATAACCAGGCAATGAATTGAGCACACACAGACCCATTTAGGTACACAATGAGAGAGAACATATGATCAAGGCTGGGGATGTCATCATTTGAGGGCTCTGTACAGAACCTACTTTTACTAAATGGAAATTACTGTTACTGAATAATCCAATCTACTTAAAACTCTAACAAGGAATCAGAAACCTCAATACTTAAACCAGCTTCATACTGATTTACAATGGGACGCTTGAACACAGTGCACCTCCTTGACCCCAACACCCACTTTCCAATTGCCTGTCTTTCAAAAAAACTATCTAATTAGATTTCCTTAAAAAGAGAACACTTTGTTATTTGGGAGAAATTTTTCTTTTCTTGTTTAGTTTGTACTTGTTTAAAACCCAGGGCAATTTCAACTTTATGTTTTCACAGGGTCTCTTCCAAAGTGTGATTATTGGATGGAATCTGTGTGAAGTGCAGGTGGTGAAGTGCTTGGCTATACCTCAAAAGATATGCAATTGTGAGTTTATATAACACAACAGCAAGTTCCAGAAAGAAAAAAAAAAAAAAAAAGACAGGGGCACATTCTAAAAAGTGACCACACACTAAGCTTTCCATTTCAAAAACTTCAGGAATTGAAAAAAATCCATGATCTCAAAACCCAATTATTTGAAAGTGATGCATATTAGTTTGCTAGGGCTTCCATAACCACGTACCACAAGCTGAGTGGCTTAAACAACAGAAATTCATTGTCTCAGGGTTCTGGAGGCTAGAAGTCCCAGATGAAGATATGTTGGCAGGACTGGGGAGAAAATCTGTTCCATGCCTCTTGCCTAGCTTCCAGTGATTTGCTGGTAATTGTTGACCTTTCTTGGCTTGTAGAAACATCTCTTCAATCGCTGCCTTCATCTCTGCATGGCAGTCTCCCTGTGAGTGTGTCTGCGTCCAAATTCCTCTTCTTTTTTGTAAGGACATGAGTCATATTGCAGTAGGGCCCATCCTAATGACCTCACATTAGCTCGACTACCTCTGTAAAGACCTTATCTCCAAATAAGTTCTTATTCTGAAGGACTGGGGATTAGGGCTTCAACATATGAATTTTTGGGGGGGAGGGGTGGAGAGGGACAAAATTTAACTCCAAACAGGTAAGTAATTATTGTGCCACTTACTCTGATGTAATGAATAGAATACAGGCACCTCAGCAGACAAACTGGGCTTTAATCCCAGCCCTTGTTTGATTTGGAAAGTTGGGAAACCTCCCTGAACCTGTTTTTTTTTTTTTTTAACTGTATAAAGAGGTGGGCTATGGTGAGGATTCATCCATCAGTTCAACAAGTGACTGCTCACTAAGGGGTCAGCTATACGTAAAATGCCCAGTATGTAATACACATTCAACATGTGTTATTTCTTTTTCCTTGAACATACTTAAAGTATTAGAGTACTCTGAAGGGTAATAATGTGAAGTATTAGTAAATAAAATTATAATGTAATGGAAGTATTTTACTTAAATGGCTTTTATTAGTCCTATTTCAGGATGTATTTCTATGTTTATGATATAACCATTTAAATTTGACAGGTTTTGGGGTATTTCAGGTTTTGTACATACTTGGCTTGTTGTAGAGAAATGAAGGTAAAAACTCCTGGTATTATTCTTCACCATGATTCTTCAAACTTTTAAAGATATAAAAATAAGAGTCTGGACGTGTGAAAATGATTACAAATGAAGAAGACTCAATGGATCGATTCATGTTTCTTTTTTTTCTTAATATAGATAAAATTATAACTACAATTTGCTTATGTGAACTTATGTTTACTCTTTGGAATATGTGACCCACTTTGAAACCAAGTAAAAAATCATAAATCAATACTTCAAGGTTTATAATATTTCAATGTTCACTAAATTTGATGTTTCATTCGCTGGACCATGCTCCCTGCAATATTACATTAAAAAGAAATACAAATGAAGAAGACTCAATGGATCGATTCATGTTTCTTTTTTTTCTTAATATAGATAAAATTATAACTACAATTTGCTTATGTGAACTTATGTTTACTCTTTGGAATATGTGACCCACTTTGAAACCAAGTAAAAAATCATAAATCAATACTTCAAGGTTTATAATATTTCAATGTTCACTAAATTTGATGTTTCATTCACTGGACCATGCTCCCTGCAATATTACATTAAAAAGAAATATCTTGCTTGATTTCTATGGTGGGCTGGGAAATATGCCAGGGAGAAAATTTGTTTAGATGTCACTCAAAATCTCCTCTCACCAGGCGTTTGCTTTTCCTGTGAGCAGGGAATCATGGTCTCCCTAAAAAGTGCTTCTTAGGCGAATCTCTAAGGCAGTAGATTTTAAACTTTTACAAATTATTGTTAACTTTCATAGAGGAGTGGTCTTTTCTAAATAAATCATACATAAACCACATTTCTGGTTAATGCAAGGTGGGAGTTCTGGAGATCCTTTTTTAGTCTGGTTTCCCTGATACTTAGAGTGAGTTGTGCCCAAGGATGTCTGTAGAACCTAGGACTCATTGGAACACAGTTCGAAAGTCACTGTTAGGGCTTGGTCTCTAGAGGAAATGAAGGCATGTTTCTAAGCAGGTCTTCTACCCCCCTGCCTGATGTCATACAGTAAGAATCACAGGAGGTATCCCCCAAGGAAGAAGAAACAAACCATACTGGTACATACGTCCTGTGATTCGCCTAGAAATTACAGCAGACAATGATTTCTGATGACCATGTACAGGTTTCTTTTCCATTAGGGAGTGAGGATTAGTTCCAGAAGCTGACTTTAGGCCACATATGCCAGTTTCCTTAGGGAGCATGCACTGATGCCACCAATTGTGTTGCAAAGCACCTGCTTTTATTTACACAGTCATCTGTTGCAGCAACGTTACGTCTGGATTATTTTATTTTTTATTTTTTATTTTTTTGTCTTTTTTCGTGTCCGGCAACGGATCGCAACGCTCAGTGTTGCGCCCGGACTGGACCGGGACTGGCAACGGGATCACAACCCTCGGTGTTGCACCCGCACCTCGCTCAGCCAGTGAGTGGGAACCGGTCTGTATGTGGGATCTGAACCCCCGGTGGGAGCACCGCCGCGCTCCCAAGTGGCGCACTGTAGCAGTGCGCCACCGGGCCGGCCCTACGTCTGGATTATAATCGCCAGTTTTGCTTACCAGTTGGATCCTCCAGTAAGAAAACTCATTAATGATAGGGGTCATATCTTGTCCATTTTTAAATACCCAGTGCCGAGTCCAGTAGCTGATTAATAATAATAATAATAACAACAATTATTATTATTATTTTAAAGGTAACTAGCATTTGCTGAGCACTTACTGTCAGACACTGTTCAGAGTAGTTCCTATATGGTGTCTTAATCCTCACACAACCCAATGAAGTAGATTTTATCCCATTTCAGAGGTGGAGTTACTTGCCCTCAGGTCATGCAGCTCAGAAGTGGAGGAGCTGGATTTCAAACCCAGGCAGCCTCTTTTTCTCACTACACGGTGTAACATTACTCAACAATATTTTTTGAGGATTCTCCATGTGACAGACACTGTTCTGGGCATTGAGGATATGTGGTAATCAAAACAAAGTCACTGTTCTTGTGGAGTTTACATAGTGAGATGCTCTCTAAATATGTGCACAGAAAATACTCCTTAAAAGAGTGAATTAAAATATTATACTTCTATTTTTACTCCCATCTTAAGAATTAGGTAACTGAGTCTTGGGGAGCTAAGGAATTCTTTTAAGGTAACATAGCTGATCCATACTAGAGCCCGATTCAAACTCACTTCTGTAAACTCTGATCCCTTGCCTTCAAGACAATCTATCTAAACTATCCAAAATAATCCACAATGCTGGATGGTCCTGTTTTCATTTCTGATGAAATGGTGAAGTGATTGTTGATATTTTCGACGCTGGTTCTATTTTCAGAAGATTCTTAGGGATAGAGATTTCATATCATCTGCTTTGCCCCTAACAAAACTTTTGCTTGCACCAAGTCTGTTTCTTCCTGTTTGATGCTCTGTGGCCTGTGACTACCTTCATGTTTTCCATTTACTCAACAAACATTGAAGGAACACTTATCACAAGTCAGGGCACGTACCAAGTGCCAAGCATGCATTCAACATACCGAGATAATAAAGCATCAGTTCCTGCCCTGAACAAACTCATGGTCTAATGGAATTTCAAAGTTGCTTGAGGGTAGAGCCTCTGTGATATCGGGGTCAAAGGAATTATCTCAGGTCTCTTGCATGCATTCCATGATTTTCTCCTTTAGTTTCCCATCTTTTTCTACCTGGGGTTCACCTTAATAGTCCTAATGTTATACTACTCCTTCAAGAAGCTCAATGTGCTTTCTCTAGACTGGTCAATTATTGTCATGTTCTAATGAGGTTTTAAAGAAAATGCTTCACTCTTTAGGGGCCATTTGATTATGTAAGGAACATCACTCCAGTCCCATGCCTGTCTTCTATCCTCTTCATAAAGAGCAGAGGGATGAAGAATGAACTAAAAGGGTTTCTAGATGTTTCACTGCTGTGATCTGTTTGCCTACACTGGTATTCTTTGATTATAATGAATATGTTCACCGAGGAAATTATTTTGAGGAAAGCAATTGTAAATGAAAACGGAAACCCATTTATGAAAATAACTATAAGGATTAATATGAACAGATTATTTTTTGACATTTAGTATAGAACTTCCCTTTCTGAGAGTTTAAAGTTCTAAATTTTAAGAAATCCCACAGTCTGAACCAAATTTCTATACCTTTTAGAATGAATCTTAAAGGAAAAAACATCTGCAGCACAAAAATATTTTCC